AAATATTAATAATATTTCAAAAGCTGAAATAAATTATTTATTGAAATATTAAATAAAAATTAAGCAAATAACTATATTTGATTGCTAAAAGAACTTTTAAAATCTTTAAAAGTTATGTAACTTAATATCTAACAAAATATATTAACTGAATTATTAAAAAATTAAAAATATTTAAAGAAATATACAAAATTAATTTTGTGAAGTAAAATCTTTAGGGAAAATTAAATATTATAGTAATAATATAAAAATTATTAATTCAAAAATAATTAAAAATATAAAATATCCAAAAATATTTGTATAATAACAAAAATCTTTCAAATTATTTTATTATTTTATTTTATTTTTTATTATTTTTAATTACTTTTTATCATTTTTTAATTATTTTTATTATTTTTTGATTATTTTTTATTTTTTTTAATTATTATTATTTGATTATTTTTAATTATTTTTAATTATTTTTAATTACTTTTTATTATTTTTTAATTACTTTTTATTATTTACTTTATTTTTTTATTAATTTATCTTATTTTTAGTTAGTTATTATATTTTGAAATTGTATTTTAAAAATATATAAATAGAGATATTATCTGAGTCTTAACTCAATATATTATAAATGAAAAATAAAAGTTTCTCTTAACTATTATTAATTTTGAATTTTATATTATATTGTGTTAAATAAATTATTATTATTGAATTTATAAATTTTTTTAATTATTTTGGTTTTTATTATTTTGATTTTGTTATTTTTAAATTTAATATTTTGATATTTTTTATTCATGAGAAGAACAAAGTAAAAAAGTTTTTTGTTATTATTATTATTAATTATATTATTTTAGTTCTAAAAAGCTTAATATAATTACAGAAATTAGAATTTTAAAATTCTATTTATTATTTAATTTCTTATTATTTTATACTTTTTCTCTTTTCTTTTGATCTTTATTTTTCTATAACTCTTTTATCTTATTATTATATTTTTAAATTATTAAATTTTCTGTAAAATTGATATAAAACTTAGATATCTTCTTTTCTTTTGATATTTTATTTATTATTTAATCCTATTTCTTAATTTAATTTCAAGTTTATTGTTATAAGTTTGTTCACTAATTATTAAATTAGCTTACAAACTTGAATTTGAATTGAGAGAAAATAATAGACTAATAAAATATTAAAATAAAAAAGAAGAAATATCTAAGATCTATGCTGATTTCTACAGAAATTGTATTTACTTAAAAAGAAATAATAATATAAGAGAGTTGTGAAAGAGTAAAGATTAAAAGAGAGAGAAGATATAAAAAAATAATAAAGAGAATTCAAAAAGAGGTAATTCTATACTTGTATAAAGCTTTCTAAAACTAAGATAATATAATTAGCAATAATAATAACAAAAACTTTTTTACTTTGTTTTTCTCACAAATGAAAAATATTCATTAACAATTAAAAATAAAAAGTAAAATACTTATAATTCAATTTCAATAATTCTAATATAATGATTTGTTTAGCACAATATAATATAAAGCTTAATAATTCAATAATAATGATTTGTTTAGCACAATATAATTTAAAGTCCAAAATCAATAATAGCAATTTGCTTAACACAATATAATATAAAACTATTAGCAATTTAATAGATTCAATATGATATAAGATCACTTATATACAAGATTTGAAATATATAAAAAAAATATAAGAGATAGAAAGTGTTTGGAAGAAGATTTTTGTTAAGAAAAATTTTTATTTTCAATTACAACATGTTGAATTAAGACTCAGATGGCATCTCTATTTATATATTTTTTGAAAATATAGTTTCAAATAATAATAACTATTTAATTAATAAAAGAATAACAAATAATAAAATAAATGATAAAAAAAATGATAAATAATAAAAAGTGATGAAAAATGATTAAACTAAAGAAAAATAATAAAAAATTAATGAAAAAAATAAAAAAGTGATAAAAAATAATAATAATAAAAAGTGATAAAAATAATGAAAAATAATGAAAAAATGATAAAAAGTAATGAAAAGTGATTAAAAATAATGAAAAAGTGACAAAAAATAATGAAATAAATATTTAATGTATTATTTTTGTTATTTCTTAAAGATTATTATTTTTTTAAAGATCTTGAATATTTTCAATTATTTTTCAGATTTGAAATTTTCTTTGAATTTATGAAATTACTACTATAATATTATAAACTAATTTAATAATTAATAAATAAACTTATAATAATAGATATAAATTAAGATAATAAATATTTTTTGCACAAAAAAAATGTGTAATATAATTTTAGTAATTACATTAATATTTAAATTCAAAGTTAGATTATTGCAATTTGTCAAAAAAAAATTTAAATTAGCATATAATTATCAAGTTTTTCTTGATAAATAGAGTACAAAATATTATAAATTATTTTGGATATAATTATAAAAGAAGAATCACTCTGTTAAATAATTAACAAAATTTTATAAAAATAAAAATCAGCAGTTGACATTTATTAAATTTGTTTTTATTATTCTATATTTAACCTGTAAAAGATTGCATAATCATATATATTCTTTAATACTTTATAATTGTATTCAGAATTTCAAATCTTGAGAAATCAAATATGTTTATATCTGATTCAAAGAGCTTAAATAAATAATCCAAAAGTTTTAATACTATTTGTCTATAATGTGAATCAACTGTTAGATTTAATCTGTTTTTATAAGAGTCATTTTTGTTATAGCACAATATTATATTCTTAAATTTGCTATTTGTATTAGTTCGTGATCTCTTTACAATTATAATATATCTCTAAATTATAGCAAAGACTCAAACATGAGCAAGAAGCTTATTATGACTTGCAAGTTGATCAGATAAAGATGAAAACATGGTTAAAATTTATATAATAATACAAATTGAATTTTTAATTTTTTAATTTTTAATCTTATTAGCAGCTTTAATTAATTATATTGTAACTAGTTGTTACTCTAAATATACTATAGTTATAAGAGGAAAGTGAGAATTATTTACTATTAGTTGGAAGGTGTTTAATTTATTTATTCTAATTGTCTTTGTATAGGAATTTTCTTTAATGCATTCTTTTTCAATTATAACAAAACTTCAAATAGATCTCAGTTTTTAAATGATTATTGAATGGAAATTATCCAATGCAAAGGTAAGTTTATTTGTACACAAATTTTCTGTCGCTGTATTAAATACAATCTGTCTCTATTTATATATTATCATTATGTGAAATCTGCAAGAAACAATTATTATTGCATGAACAGTTATCATTATCCGAAACATGTAAGAATGCAAAAAGTGATTATTATGATGTGAGACTTGCATGTGATTGTGTCACCATAAAAATCTCCCTCACATATGATATAATATTTATTGTTATATTGCAATAACGTAGAATTAGAGTGAGTGATTATTATATATAAAATTGTCTTTTATTACCTATTTTTGATATTTTTCATTTTTTAATTTCTTGTGTTTAATCAAAAATTTACGCATTTTTATTGGATTGCGTGGATCACGTGAGCGTAACTTAATAATAAAGAACTAAATCGAACTGCGCCGACCCCACGCGGAATCACGTGAAGAGTGGCAATAGCAAAAATGGGAGGTGACAATAACAATATCCTTTATATAGTGTGCGTGATTTTCGTTGCTCATAGAACATCCAATTTTGGCTTACAATAATTTTGAATGTGCAATGGAGGTAGAATCACCTGGTTCAATAAACAAATATAAAAACTAAGGAACCTAATGGTTCGATTCTGTATTTGGTTCTAAAATTATATATGACCAGACCTGAAAATTTTTTTCGTCATGGCCAGGCTCTCTACAGTTGTAAACTTGATTGTAATTTGCATAAAACATTTCATAAAAGACGTGCCAATGGAATTATAAGAGAACATGTTAATAGATTGATGATTGAGAGAAGTTTTACAAATAAGCAATATAATTACATCTAAGTCCAATCCAACTTCTCAATAAATTAAAATAGTTTTGCAGCACATTCTTTCCTCGCCAAAGAATGGGCTGCTGGCCTTCAAGTATGTGATCAAGGCACCGTTATGCTCACGTTATACAAAACAAGGGATAATAGTGGACAGGGTGATTCACAAGATTTGAAGATAGAGTTCTGGAGAAGTGGGATGGTAGTTTAATATTTCTAAATATTTAATATAAGCTCACAAAATCTGTTTTTATAATCCTGCTGGGTGATCAAAACCGGTTTATGAAATTCAAATTTTTATTGTAAAATCATCAAACAAGTATAAAATTCGAATTTTTTTCGGTCCGATAACTTCGGTGCACAATGACTCGCAATCTAGTGATCGGATCGGAGCGATCTAACAAACATTCGATTCACCTAGTTAAGGAAAATTGAATGGTATATAGTTGGCTCGCGCCGATATGACGAGATATCGCGTTCCAAAGTCACCGGACTGAAAAAATTCGAAAATCGATTTATATAAATAAAATTTTTTCATTTACATAGTCATGCGTTATGAAAACCAAAAAATTTGTATGCAGAATTTGATGTGGGAATTGACAAAGGAAGCAAACCGCCATTATCTTCTGACACTCTGTTCTCACTTTCCCAGTACTGGCAAAGGCTGGACTAAGTAATACGTGAGCTGTTTATTCTCTTCCTTTCTTTCATTTTCTGATACTTATGTGTAAATTCTTTTACAATTCTAATCAAACGCAATCAGGTTCTAAAGCTTGATCAAAAAGTTTAGCATTTAACAACTATATGTTAATTGCATAAAATTTACTTTCGCATTACATATACGGTCTATGAGCATCGCCAAAAGTGCAAATACATGTTATCGCTAAACTTGGTCACATAATAAAAATGAACGAACGAGAACGAGCTTGTATATTTTTTTTAGTTCTAAAAATGCGTGTATCTATTGGTATTATCATAAAGTACCATGGTCTATATATTCTTAAAAACTGTTTTCTTATAACTGGTTTATCCATGAGTTTTTTGTCATATAATTATATTCCTCTTTTCCTCAAAACTTCCAATGCATGCTCATTAATCAACACGTGATCATCTTCAATAAACTTCAATACACAATGAAATGGACCCTCTAAATGATAACGCACATCAATAAATCGATAATTGATTTTAGAATTGACATTTTTACGACATAACGCACACCTGAATATTCGTTGTTTTTCAAGCCCACCGAGAATTATCGCTCGTGCAACATGGCTCAACTTGTTTGGATGTTCGCGATAATCTTCGGCTTCATCTTTGATTTGACGTATTAGAAAATCAAGTTGACATTGTGTGAATGGAATTGATGGGTCGCCGTTGTTGATGGATATTGGGTTTTTATAGGTTGAACAGAAGCGAAGATATTTTAAACAGGGATCTTTTAATTGGTTTGGTGAATTAATTGCGCCGTTATTATTTTTATCGTGTAATCGCCATAATTGATCGATTCGATGTTCAATTTGATTTTGTCGTTTACTGAACTCGATAGAAAAAGTGACAGTCGTATAAGTTTCCTTCATGGATTTTTTAATAGCAACCCAATCGTCATTAATTGGCTCACTGATATTGCTCATCGCGCAACAATATGCAGGAGACCGTCGAAGATACGTAGAGCGATAAACTTGCTCACCATTCAGAGATCGAATCTCACACAACTCGTCGATGATCGTTTCGACCATCGCGTTCTTGGTTTCTTCAATGAGACAATTTTGCGTGATGGAACTTTGCATTCGCGATTTGGCGTCCTCCATGATTTTTAGTGTGTTAGTTTTTTGTTGTTCTAGCCATAGACTTTTTTTTTCTAGGATGACACGTGTTGTATCGGTCCTCTGCTAATGTCCATTGGGATTTCCAGTAAAATCTTACACTATGAATCTCAATGTATGGCAATCCTTGAAGAATGTCACGTTTTTCTTCCGGGGTGCAAAGATAATCGCAAATTTCTTTTTCACTATAAAGAAAAAGTCAATAATGAAATACTTTAATTATTCAAATGAAATAAAGTTGTTTTCTTTAGATTCAAAATTTACCATTTAATATTAGTTTTTAGACATCTATCACAACAACGTAACCTAAATGCCCAATGAACAATCAAATAGACAACTCGACCACAAAGCTGACAATCTTTACGCAATCGTGCCAACTCCAGATACGATTTCTCGTCCATTCCTTCAGGTGGCGGCAGATACAGCGATGGATAATAGTAGAGTCGTGAACACCGCCATATCTCTTGTGTCATGGAAGAATTCGGCGAGCATAAATATTCTCGATACAGTTTACATACAAACGTCAGGTTTAAGAGATCTGCGGGCGATAAATCACGAACAATAGCAACGAAAAGTTCGGGAGATAAGTGATTTACAACGTCAAATGAGAACGTAGTGGAAGAGTTATAAGATTGTGTATGCGTAGTAACTAGCATTTTTTTCTTATTATGAACTAAAAAAGGGAAAAGATTCTAATGGTAATGGTAGTAAAGGCAGCGGTGTTTTGTAAGTTGAATAAAGACGAAATGCTGAACTGAGAACAGAGTTTGAGTACAAAGAAACGATTAATACACAAAGAATAACAAACTTTATTTTTTCGTATTGAATGAAAAAACAAACGAACGAATGAACTAAGAAAAAGTACTAAATAAAATTAACGAATCGAAAAGGGCTAATTCATACAAGAGGAACAAAACTTTTTAAGAAATCTGGTGAATCGAAAATAGAATCAATCAAAAAAACACAAACCAATTTAATTCTTTTATAGTTTTCTAAAAAAAAACCTTTAAGCCAGTGTGTTCTTATTAGGACTGTATGAAGCAATAGTATCAATTATGACGTAAAAGGCAAGAGCAGCAAGTTACATATATAATACATATTTTAATTTTTATCGTTGTCTGCTATAAAATAAATCAAATAAAAACTAATATATAATAACACGATGTCGCGTATAAAAACTAAGTAGTAGGGACTGAACGAATAGGATTATTATAAGTGTATTTTAATACCTAATTTAATCTGTTCTCCTTTGTCTGATAATAGTTCAGCCGGTACCATTATTTACTACGCAAAAACATTTTCGCGGGGATGATTCATTTTTAATAAGTTTAGAACCAAACAGAAAATTGCTAGGACCCTAAATGTTACTAAAAGTAACAATGATTTCGGCTACTCCTTTTTGTCTTTTTGTTTTGTGTGTGTATTTGTTTGGCAAGACACTTTCTTCAATTGTTCTCTCAAGATAAGAAATAAACTTGGAAGAGGAATAGGAACCAGATTCTTATTCCTTATAAGTAAGTAGAAGGGTGACATCTGTCAATGATGAGAGTAATGATGACGAGAATCAGATAATTAGCAACAATGCCACCAAAGAATATACAAAGACATTTATTACGCATATATATTAGTCTCCTCGCTACTGTTGAGTAAGTTTCAAATTGTGAAACTTTTGGTACTGCCATACAAAAACATTTATGAATTCATTCCGGATTGGTCTGATTGGATCTCATATATAATATAGTACTAGTATATTTATCAATATATCTGTTCGGTTTAAATTTGCTATTTGACGTTTCACAGATATCAGATTTTTGTTGTGAGACAACAAAATATTTTAATATATGATATAGACAGAAAATTTGATTGTTATACATGATAATTGGAGATAACGCGCGACATTCGATTGGGAATTACAATCGTATTATTCTTATTAGTTCGGTTATATGCATTTTTTATTTAATTAATAACTTGTTTGACTTCAAATATAGAAATATAATGTGCCAGGCTCATGTTATTTGCATAAAATTTATCATAAAAAGTTTTTAAATTAAGATAAAATTAATTTTTGGATAATAGATGACACCGATATACCGATACTCGAATCAAATTTTCTGACGATCATGTACATGTACGTACAAATTCTTGGAGTATCACAAAATTTAATGGAACTTTACAAGTTGACGTTAACATTAATGTTAACGATAAGTAATAATTTCAGTCTCCATTTCAAATTTCACTTACCAATTAATGTACGTATACATGTACGTATACAGTATATTGTTTTTACATTAATATCATTTAACTTTTATTAATATTAATCAAATTTAAATTCAACTAATACTAAATAGGAATGAGATTGATGAATTCTGTCAAGTACAATACGTGTTCTTTATTCGATCGATATTGACTAATATTAAAAAAAATTATCAACTTTCGCAATTTCTACAGAATTATGTTTTACTTGCTCATATCGATATTCTCTCGTGACCGTAATCACAAAGGCATGTACTTTGTGTATCATGCACTATTCATGTACATTTATGTATAAATTAAGATAAGTTTAAACGTTAATAATACAATAGCGATGGAAGTTACCCCGTCGGAAACAATACTTTAATAACAATGTAGCTTAATTATTTAAATATCAAACTTTTTCTCAATTATTAGTTTTTTCAGCAAGAGTCCAATTTCTTGTCTAGAAATATTGAAACCTCACATTTCCAAAACGAAAATAATTATTCGTCATGTTTCGTCCAAATATGTATATCCATAAAGTATTTTTAATTATTAATCAGCTCAGATTTTTTTTTGATGTTTCCATAAGAGAAAATCAACTAAATATTTTTCATATATAAAAAGCTACCAACAATTAATAACATGAGAGACTTGATTAACCAAAAAACTACACAATCATCACAATCACCTGTATGTTTATTTGAAGAATACCAAGAAACTTTCGAAGTTAAGGTCAAATATTTTCTTTTAACAAAGTCTCAAAGATTCTGAAATAAAAAAATTATTTATATTCTAATAAAATTGCATTGTACATGTAATTCTTAATTAACACAAAAAGAGTGGAAATGAACTAAAAGAGGTAATCGACTCGCTCCAAAGAGCAATCCACAAATTCGTCCTACTCAAAGAACAACACGTCATGCGAGTAACATTTCCGCGTAACACCGTAACCCCCGTTCTTCAACTATTTTGTCAGTCGGTTCCTACGCAAGATCAAAAAGAAATTAAACGTGAATTAGATCAGATTACTTCGACGACGGGAAACGCGATTCTACTTAGATATGGAGATCGGATTGCCGAATATTTAAATAGTATTTATCGCGTAAAATATAAGCATTTGAAATTGGAAGTCGAGAATATTAAGAACAGGAACCAGGTTTTAACAGTTTTTTATGAAGGAAATTTAAAATTTGAAAAAATCTGGAGGTCTGTGAAATTTTGTGACGAAAAGATTTGTATAGCGGTTTTTAATACATAACGATGCATGAAATTTCAATAAAAATTATTCAATATGTCCTAATAAAAATTAGTTATAAATGATCCATAATTTTTCTGAATCCTGCTAATCAATTCAGTCGAATAATAAAAGATGATTTATCAATAACAACACAAAAACTCGAGATTAGTTAGTGTTACTAGTAAACAGACACAACTAAATTTTGATTGATATTAATGGATAATAATTTAAATCTGTTGCTGTATAAGAATATTTTTTATTCTAGTTTTCCAAATATATTTTATTTTAATCAAATTCTTTAATTGAAAAATGTAGATGATTTCTAAATGTCGATATAAACAATGAGAATTTTCAGTTTTATTTTGTTTTGACAAGAAAATTGCATCAGAAATTTAAGAATTAAGTAATGTATATTATTAATATATTATTAAAATTTAAGGAAAATATTTTAAGTTATTATAATAACACGCTGTTGATTTAGCAACATAAGAAAATTTTAGTATTTTGCTAATTATGGCAAAAAATTACTTAATAAATTAATTAATTTATTTCATAATTTGAGACTTAATTAAATATACATTAAAAATATTTCTTTTTTTATTACAATTTTTAAACTTTTATTTTAGAATTATTAGATAAAATGATAATAAGCAAATTTTTTAAGCATACAAGTTTATATTATTGCATTAAGGTTGCCTGCTATAATTTTTTTCATTACGACAAGTATTTTAAACAATATAAATAAAGTAATTACGACATGGTCGTTATATCAAAATGATTAAGCATAAAGCAATGTACAGAATCCGCATAGGGCTGTTTTGGATGTCTTAATTATCAAAATCAGTAATATTTATAACAAATTTTGAATTACGTTGAAAAGTTTTAACATTACAAAACTCTAAGCTTAATAAAAATTTAAAGTTAGGTGCGTATTATATAAGGTTGTTTGATTGTTTAACATTGAATATCACGTGTAAATTTTTATCCCATTGAAATTTAGCATTCTAGCATTTAATCAGGAGAGTGATTTTTTATAAGAGCTTGTAAGAAGGGTTTTCTTAAACAAATGCCATTTATATAGATCAGGGTTACAATGATATTTTTATTTGAGAAAGGAGACTCCAAGTCTGATATTATCTGACCAGTTTTCCGTAAACGATATGATGTTTGTTAGTATTGTGATAAATGAGAAAATGAGGAAATGTCTGCTGTTTGGAAAACATATACCCTTCATGTGTTTATTGCAAGAATAATGGCGAAACATGCATAATTAAAGTTTAATTCTATAATTAATCATTATCAATATTATGTTTGTTTTTTACCCCTTGCCCCAAATTAAAAAATAATGTTAAATAATGATTGCTCCAATCGCTCACTTGCTACGTAATTTGCACCAGGTGATGATGGTTGGAGAAGAGATTGAGATGGTGGTTGAAGGAGGAGGCGGGGTTGGAATAATAATTGTGGTGGTCGATTAATTGAGTAATGAGAATAATAACGCAAAAAGGCCGTCCTGGTCCCGCTCTTGCTGTTTCTTGTGGTGGTTGCGTGGTGGTAGTGGTTGTTGATTAATAGAGCAATGAGAATAATGGTTATAATTCATATTATTTAATTTGATTTCGATATTAAAGGCCATCCGCCTGCAGATTGGATATTTAAGCCGAATGCGTTGGAAGCCCTGGTCTTGCACTTGCTGTTTCATGTGGTGGTGGTTGTTACAATTATAATATTGATGAGAATAATGTATTTTTTGTCGATCACTAGAGTTCGTTAATTGTTCGATTCGTCTTAAATATGGCCAAAATTACGCATCGGTAAATTCCGGTTGACATTAACGACACATGATAATCTTTGCATATGCAAATCAAACTTCGATTTTCCAAGAAATTTCAAGGTTCCAGATCGTAGGGCACCTGTATGATCAGCACGCCCCCTAGTTTTAATAATTTTAATGCACTACTTGTTGGTGGCGCGGCATAACAATTACCCGAAATTTGATTAGAGTTATGGTTGGAAGAAGATTAAAATTATATGTGAAATTGCCTCCGCAACATTTTTTATTAGTACCCCAAGTTAGATTTGAATATCCAATTTACGTATTTTTCGCATTTTTCATTTAATAGAAAATTACGTAATTATCATGGCGCAAAAAAACAAATTTCAAGGATCCCCAATTTTTTTCTCGCTTCCACACATTAGTCATGTCTTTTAAAATAAAAATATATCGATATTATTTTCAATCCACAATAGGTTCTAATGTTTATTCAGAAAATACGTGTAGTCACGTAGAAAAATTGGGTTATCACAATTATGTAATCATCTTGGCGTAAACAAAACTGATTTTAGTGACCAATTTTTCAATACCTGTTATTACAGGTCTGGATATTATAAAATGAACAGTTGCCTTTTATTTTTCTCGAACTCAAAAATAAAAATTTTGAAATTAGTAATTATAAAAAATTTTTTATGATGAATAATTTTTTTTGCTACTGGTTAATTATATTTTAATATTAAACAGAAATTTTTTTTATTATTTAAAAAGTAGTTTTTATTATTTTTACTAATATTCATTTTCTTTATATTTAATATTTTTGTTATTTATTAATAATATTAATAATATTAATAATATAATTTTCTTTAATATTATATAATAAAATTAGATATTTTGGTTAATATATAAAAGAGTTAATAATTTAAAGATTAGAATTAATATTAATATATAATTCAAATGAAATTTGTTTTAAAATATATATAATAATAAAAAAGTTTAATAATAGATATAAATTAATTGTACTTATAATTAATATAACATTAATTTTTTCTTTATACTCAAAGTAAATATAAAAAATTAAAATAATTTATATATAATAATATATTAATAATTATAAAAAAAATTAAAAAATTTTTTTATCTACTAAACTGTCTTATAATATTAAAAATAAAATTAAGTAAAAGTTAGTATATATAAAATTTCTTTTCTAATATTTATAATTAGTACTCATATTTTTCATTTTTTTATTTTTTTATATTGGATATATTTTGCTGAGTTAATCAAAAATTTTATATAATTATTAATTAATATTGTTATTATAATAATATTAAATTATTTAATTTTATAATTTCTTTTAATTTTTATATAAATATCATTTCTATAATTATTTTATTATATTAATAATATAATTCATATTTTTATTAATATTTGAAATATTAAAGAACTTTCTTATTTTATTATTTAATATTATAAATATTATAAATATTTTATTATATGTAAAGTTATATATAATATTATATAGTATTACTTTAGTACTTTAAAATATTAAGAAATATTAAACAATTAATTTTAATATATTATATTATTATAAAAGAAATATTTAAAGATATTAACAATAACTAAATAGTTATTTTTAAATAAAAGATATATTTGAATTATAATGTATATAATATTAACTTGTAATTAGTATAATAATAAAAATCATATATATAAAGATATTTTTGAATCTCTGAAAAAATATGCCTTAATCAATAAAAGTGCTAACTTGTAAATTATTTATTTGTTAACAAATTTTTTTATTTAATTAACTTTAAATTTTGTATTCAAGTAGTAAAAGTTCTCTATTATATACTTTAATTTTGTTATTTTATTTAGGTAATCTCAATAAGTTTTATTATATTTTAAATTAATTTGAAATATAATTTTTAATTAGTATTTTGTTTTTTTTAATTTATTAAATTATTTTGTTAAATTTTATTTTTCTTTTACTATATTAAAACTATTTTTTGTAAAAATTAGTACAGGAGATCTTTAAAATTTTTAGTATATTTCATTAATTGTAAATTATTCAGTCTTTGTTCAATATTTGTATTATTATTCTGTTCTTTAATTATAATAATTAAAGAATAAGTATAATTATATTATTATAATAATTAAAAAGTAAATACAATAGTATTATTATAAATAAATATTTTTATAAAGCTATAAATATTTATTTATAAAGGATTCAAATTCAAGTAAAGTTATATTTATTATTAAAAAAGAAAATAGTAAATAATTATTTTATTTATATATTAAATAGAGAGCTTTATATATAAAAGTTATTTATTTGTTTATAAGTAATAAAATTAATAAAATAATAAAAATAATTTTAGTTTAATAATTAAATTTTTCTAATATTATTTATTAATATATTTATTCTTACTATTATATCATAATCAGTATTATAAATTTAGTAATTTGATTAATTAAAATATTTATTTTAATTAATCAAATTATTGAATTTGTATTCAAGTAATAATACTAATTGTAAGTGTATATTATAATTTTTTTTGTCAAATTTTGAATAATAATAATATTAAAATACTTAAATTTTTATTGCTATATTAATAAATATAGCAAATAAATAACAAATATTTTTTAAATATATATAATAAAAACTAATAAATATATAAATTATAATAAAAAATATATATATGTATATATTATTAATTATTAATAAATTAAATTTAATAATTAAATAATAAATTTTTGATTATAAATACAAAAAAGATAATAAAAATAAAATTTGCTTTGAAGCTTTAATTCAAAATATAATTATAATTAAATCAATAATAAATATTTAATTATATTATTATTATTTTTGATATTGTTTTAGTTTGCTAAAAGTATTTATCATAAATTTTATAGTTTTTCTTGTAAGATATTTGATAAATATTTATATTTTTTTAAGTTTTTATAATATATTAAATCAAAATTATTGAAATATATAAACTAATACTTGTAAAGCTTAAATAAATTAAATAATATAAAATATTATTTAAAATTAAACTTAATTTTGACTAGTATAAACTACTGTTTGAAAGTTCATCTTATATTAAGTTCATTTTATATTTGTTTTTCTATAAGAATTCTTTATGATATTTAAAGAGCTATATATTAAAAATACAAAGTATTAGTTTGTTGTAGCTGACACATAGTATATATTAATAAATTTATAAATTTCAACAATTTTAATAATAAATTTACATTAATTAAGAATATTATTTGGTATCTTAAATTGTACTACTTTATATATTATAACTAGAGATATTTTATGATTTATGTATTTAATTATTTTTATAAAATTTATTATTATTTTTAATAACAAATTTTATCTATAATAATATAATTTACAATTTTAATTAGTAACTTATAAAAAAAATATAATCTTATTTTCATTAAATCTGGCTCAAACTGATGGTTCAAACCATGATTCAAATCAATAATTTAAATAAAATTACTCATTTTTTATCAAAATAATTATATTTTTTGTAATAAGTAATTTATCTTTAAATTTTATGCTAATTAATTTTGCTTAAAAGTTCAAAAAATATAATTATGTCAAAAACTGGTAATTTAAGTAAAGTAAATAAACTGATAACATCCATAATCATGATTCCTTACCAAATGTTCATTCTCTTATTACCGTCTTTATTGCAGCCATTTGAATTATTTTTGCGCCAGTCAAATCATATTCCAGCCATTTCCAATATATGCTTTAGTTTTAAAGAAGTTATAAAAATTTTGCATAACTGGTTACTCACTTTTGTATAATATAAAATGACAGTTTTTTAATTATCAACTTGTAATTATCAAGTTGTCCCTCCTCGTTATTTTATTAACTCCTAGATACTATCGGAAGATCGGGTAAAATTTACAAAGAATGTTTCGTGCATCGTAACTTTCACCTCGGAAATAAATATATTAATAATTTTGAACTTACTAGCCCATAAGATATAAAAAATCTAATCAAGAAATTTACGGGGTTCTTCATTATATTAGTTCAAAGATATTAATGAAAACCATACACCGAAGCTGAAATTGTAACTTTATTATGTTACTTTATTATAAAGTAAGAATGGAGAGGAAATAAAGGTAAATTATCAAATACATTACAATAGTAACGCAATCTAACTAACATTTACTCTATATTTTGTAGAGAAGCCAAATTTTATGTTCTGAAAGGGAAATGAACGCGCCAACTGTGAAACGCTCAAAGATTTCGAAGCTGAGGCTTTACAATAACTTTATCAACTCCATCCTGACCTTAACAGTCAAAGAGTATGGTTTTTTCGATGCTTAAAAGTCTGCTGAGTGTTGTATTTTATATGAAAAACCAAAAAAACGCGCTTATGTATGCGATGTGATTACGCAAAGTAAGTTTTCTTCTTTTTCGACTTGGATAAAGGCACTTAACGGCATGCGTTTTTAAAAGGCATTATCTACTATATTTTTAAAGCCCAGTTGTAATGGACAATAATAAAATGGAAACATTACTATATTATCGCGTAGCAATTTGAAAACGTAATGTTCTATTTTTACATTTTATTCGATAATTAAAACACGTGAACATTATCTATCAATATAAAAATTCTTTCATAATTCCGTATTCCACCCAAACACGTATTTGTTTTACAAATCCTCTCAAAAAAGTCAATCTCTACCTCGTTTATAAATTTCAATGAATTCTACTGTGATATTAAGGTATCCAGAGTTAGAGGTTGGAATAGAGAACAAGCTTATATGTAAAATTGTCGCCCCGACATTTTTTATTAGTGCACAAAGGTAGATTTAAACATATGCTTCCTGAATTTTTCATTTTCTTGTATCGGAGTTGTAGGGTTGATCAAAAAATTATGTATGCAATATTACGTGATCAATTTCATATACACGTTCTATTGGAAATCAGCAACACCCCTAGTTTGATTTAGTGTAAACAAAACAATCCAAACCGAGCCAAAACAATCCAAACTAAGCCAAAACAAACACACCAGGTCTGATATTAATAAAGGGCAGTTGCCTTTTAATATTTTCGCACTTAATTTCTCGTACTCAAAAATAAAATTATCTATTTCTAATAATAATTCCCATCGTTACTACTACAAAACCGTAATAACACGCAATAGCACTAACTCATTACCACTACCAATGAACCATCACGCAATGACTGTTACCAATGACAATCCCCACAACTACTACAAAACCGTAATAACGCGCAGTTTCCTAACTCCTTACCATTACAACCATAATAACCACCCTTCGCAATAATTACTACCGCAATAACTGTGAGTATGCAAAGTTATCGTTCCTTAGAGGTAACAGGTCGTGTGATTTATCACACGGTTGACTTGTGTGCCCTTCTTTATAGGCTAGATGTGTATGCTCTCTAAGTGTGATATTCTTCTTTCTATACCGAGTCTTCCTGTCTATAAGAGGATGATTACCTGAGTGAGAGGATGATTACCTGAGTGAGAGGCTTATCTGAATAAGTGGCTTACCTGAATAAGAGACTATCCTTAGAGAAGTATTCCCCTTAGTATCGGATGTACCCTCTTAGTATCGGATATGCCCTCTTAGTATCGGATGTACCCTCTTAGTATCGGATGTACTCTCTTAAGTCGGATGTTCCTTATAGTCAGATGTAGTTGTTCACTTATGTATAAGTCTGAGATGTATACCTCCCTATAGTCGAGATGTTTTGTGCGCCGATTTCTGTTGCTGCTCACTGAACACCAAATTCATAATATTTTTTTGGTATATTTCAGATATTTTAACTTACGATAATAAATCAAAACCATCATCATCACCGGGTGACGTTCATAATCCCGAAAATACATAAGCCCAACAAACGAAATCCCGAATGCACAGCATACCGAAAGCACGAAATGAACAGCATACCGAATGAACGAAATCCCGAAAGGACAGCATTCCGAATGAACGATATACCGAATGCACAAAATCACGCATTTACTAATTTCCCCCAGGTTTCTGATTGGTTGAGGATATTTAAGGTTAAGTTTAGCGTTGGGTTAGGATTAGAGTTAGAGTCGAGGATAAGGTTATATGTAAGATTACCTCACTGAAATTTTTGATTAGTGCTTCAAGCCAGATTTAAGCATTCGTTTTCCGTATATTTCACATTGTTCGCATTTTTAATTTTCTTTTGTCGGATTTGTTTTGCCGGTCTGATCAAAATTTATGCATTTTTATTGGTTGATCTAGAAAACCCGGTGTGCAGTCGACCAATCAGCGATGGAAATTACTTGCATCCAATCAGAAACCCGGAGGAATTACTAAATGCGTGATTTCGTGCATTCGGGATTTTGTGCTTTCGGTATGCTATGCATTCGAGATGCTGTCCTTTCGGGATTTCGTTCATTCGTGCTTTCGGTATGCTGTTCATTTGGGATTTCTTTTGTCGGGTTTATAGCTTGTGATTATGGTTTTCGGGATGTCATACCAGATCCTCATCACCACAGCCGATATCACCACATTAACCACTATGTCGACGACGTTATCCTCCAAGACGTACGAGACGTGAAGTGCAGATACTTAAAATACTGCAACAAGTGCAACAAATTCGCGCGATACACAAATTTCTCTTCGTGAATTTTGATCAGATAAAAAAATAACAATGCTATACTGGATTTATTTGTCATGTCGTTAATAATCATATAGTTATCATCGTTGTTGCAGCGGTTACGAATAAAAAAAATACGTCAACCACAACCATCGATCTTTTCTTCCCTACCTTCAACTATCACCATCGCTACCCCTCTACCGACATCAACTATCACCATCGATACACATTCTCCCCCCGTCTTCAACCTTCATCATCGCTATCACTCTGCAGTCTTGCTATTTGCAGAACTAGAATTGGAGTCCAAGAAGATATCACGTAAAGCCGTTAAAATTTGATACAATGTAATATAGAATGTAATACGCGTTTTAGCAAAATTTGTTGGTTTTTACTGACACAATAGCGATAATAATATATTGTACATACGTACGTATAACGTTATCAAAAAAATTTCCAGGTCCGTGATCTTCGATCCAGATGCCGACCATCCGATATCCCCATTAAAATTGTGCACCAATCAAATCGCAAGATCAATGTGCAACGCAAAAAATTCAACAAAACAAATGATTTGCTTGTATCTTAATAAAAAATGTCCCTTGCAAAATTTTACTACCGGGAAACTTTCCCAGCATCGCCAACAAAAAACACGCTCACGTGATCGCATACCAATAAGACGTTCTGTTGAGTCGCGCAACCAATAAGAATGCGCAAATTTTTGATCAACCCGGAAAAACAAATCCGATATAAGAAAATGAAAAAAGTGAATAATGTAAAAATACGGAAAACAGATATCAAAATCTGGCTTGAAGCATTAACAAAAAATGTCGGGAAGGCAATTTTACATATAAGCTTGTCCTCCGAACGATAAATAGCCTTTAACATTACTTTTCCGTGCTCACGTGAGCGTGTTTTTTTTGTTGGCGATGCTGGGAAAGCTTCTCATATATTTTAATGTCTCGTGATAATGCCATTGCTGTTTGTGGCGCATTACTGGTTTGTCCCACCAGAAGTTTTAATAGTCATCCGAGAGTTTTATGGCATCGATTTAGAAAACCCACGACCATTTTGATTTATTCGACATTTTGCAAAAGAGTATAGTGCGCCTAGCTGAGACGACCCTCAGACGTGCGGTTAAAAATGGTTTGTCCAAACGTCCTTGCCCTGCAACAATCCTGTGCAACCACGAAACAATTAGTAGGTTATTGTAAAAACATGCAAAGGTTGGGATTTGGCTTGACGACATCAGATGTGAACCACTGTGTAATCGAGATTGTACGCAACGATAATCGTAACCATCTTTTTACCAATAAAGAGCCTGTCAGTGCTTACCGCGGACCGTATCTTGAACATGGACGAAACCGGCTTTGTTATCGCTCCCAAGATTCAAAAGATTTTCGCAATAGAAGGTGCTCGTCAGGTTCATAACGTCTCACATGGGATCGTTCCAACAATCTCATTCGCAGGTGATTATACTCTACTCGAACTGGAGTTACCAAAGAAATGAAATTGTTAAAAGCAGTCTCATAATACAAAATTACCGTGTTGCAACATTATTTCCTCGTCCCGTCTGGAGATAAATACCACATTCAAAGGTGATTGGCTCGAATTGATAAATCTTTTGTATCACTACTATCTGAAAATATTATTAGCTAACAGAACGCTTATGTCTCTCGAGAAGGAAAAGAAATTATACATTAATAAGCGAAGAACTGGAAACTTTTAGAAATCCCGGTACCTGCCCATTAAAATGGCACTCAAAAGAAAGACATTACCTTTCGCCCGGCTTCTTACCTCTTTGCAGACATTAGCTAGAACGAAGGTTGAAAATGTGAAGAAGCTGCCCAGAAGCGAGCCATACGTGCGAAAAAAGGGGTAAAAAAACAATAATAATGATAACTAAGTTTTTTTTCCTTCCCTAACAATTCGTAACTTAGCAATGTAATAATAATAAATAAAGAATCGTTGAATTTTTATATCAGATCTCTTTAAATTAAAAAGAGTGACCTGTTGAGGAACTTTGTATAATTTATATAAAAATGGTTTTTTCATTATTATAAAGCGAGTATCAATTAAGTCTATAGAGGTAAGCTTTTTTAATAGACTTTTACCCACATTTACCTTATACCGATACAGTTCAGGACATCTTAAACAGCCATCGTTATCGTTATACATACTAATTAGTCTGACCAATCATAATTCTTTTTTATTAATAGCTCGAACTTTGGCTGTAATATCTGATCAAAATCCACGAAGAGGAATTTGTGTATCGCGCGAATTTGCAGCATTTAAGTAACTGCACTTCACGTCTCGTACGTCTTGGAGAATCACGTCGTCGTCGTCGACATAGTGGTTAATGTGGTGATAGCGACTGCGATCATAAGCTTAAATATGCAAAGAAATTATGAATCTGGAGTTCAATGAGCAGCAACAGAAATCAAAGCTATAATAGCAAAACATCTCGACTATAGGGAGGTATACATCTCAGATTTATACATAAGTGCTCACACTTAGAGAGCATACATCTAGCCTATAAAGAAGGGCACTCAGGTCAACCGTGTGATAAATCACACGACCTGTTACATTAAAGAAGATACTGTGCAGCAAAGTTATTGCGATTGTAGTAATCACTGCTTATTGTGGTTATAATAGTGTTAGAGTATTACAGTTTTGTAGTAACGGTCATTGGGTTGTGGGGATTGTTATTAGTTATTGTGGTTGGTTGGTGCTATTGCATGTTATTGCGGTTTTGTAGTAGTAACGGTGGTTGTGGAAATTATTATTAATTTTATTTTGAGTACGAGAGAAATAAGGCAACTGCACTTTTATAATATTCAGACCTGGTTTGTTTTGTACTTTTTTAGTTTGTTTTGGCTTGTTTTGTTTTGTTTTGTTTTGTTTAGTGGAGGTAACGTGTTTGTAATAATAATGGTGTGGTAATGGGTATTGTGACTAAAAGGAGCGATAGAGATTGGGATCCCACGATAATTATGTGATTAAGGTCATCCAATGGCGACGGGGACCAGTTGTTGATTACAGAACTTTTTATGAATAAACAAATTGGACGAGGGGGCTTTTCACAAAGCCTAACACCACTTCGAAAACAGAATTAGAATTGATCATAAAGTTATCTTGATTGACAATTCATATCGTCTCTCGTCGAAATTTATAAACGAGGTAGAGATTAACTTTTTTGAGAGGGCTGTATAAGCGGGCACGTCACAACTTTAAGTGTGGAATTATGCAAGAATTTAATTATCGAATAAAATGTAAACGTAAAACATTACATTTTCAAATTGCTAATTGTGGGATGATCCAAAGTACATGTACAAGAAAATACATGTACATGTAATTATTATTTTTTTTTGTTCACACGTTATGGTGCTGGAAAGAGTGTATGAACGATAATATCGTAATGCTTCTTTAAAAATTGTGGAATAAACCCTAGTATAGGGTAAATAATATTATTTTGGGTCGAGCTCTCCGATTAGATATCTACTGGGCGCCCCAGATGGGAGGATCGGGATATTATTGCCACACACTCTTACGTTATGACGCTGGAATAAACGAGAAATCCCTGTAAATTTCTACAGCTTCTATTTGTCATATCGTTGTTCATATACTACGGATCTAAATATTATATGGTGCAGGAACTCTTATGTTTCAATTTTAAAATGCTACTACTCAACATAGAGGCAAAATTTAGGTTTATTAGGATAGCAAAGGACATTTATTTTTCATTCAAGAATTGCATGTGACATATATTCATCAAAATACTATGTAGTTGACAAAAATGTTCGAGAGGTAGAAACAAAAAACCCGCTTGGAGCTACCAAAGAAGCCATGGCAGTCTGACCAGTAACTTTGTTATTTATAATAATTTCTACAAAGTTACCAGTCAGATTTTGAAAATTCGCATCTGTGTTGAGTAGTAGTGCTCCGATTCGAATCACTCAAATCGATTCGAATAATATCCGACAGCATCAAATAATCTTTTTTATGGTTTCTTGCATATTTCGTCAATTGTAAATTTGCACAATCACTGAATATCTTTTGAATACATATGTACTTAAAAAGTGATTCGAATATAAATCGAATATTTATAAGATTCGAATCAATCAAATTTATTCAAATCGATTTGACTGATTCAAATCAGTCAAATTAATTCAAATCAATTTTATTGACTTGAATCAATTTGATTCGAATTAAATTAATTTATTAATGTAGATAAATATATTTATATTATATGTTTATTATTACATAATAATATATAATCATCTATTAAAAAAAATAAAATTAAATTAATTAAATAATATACAATAATAAAGTTATAATATTTAATAATATACCTTCAGAATCATTTGAATGTGGTCGAAAAATAGAAAATATATTTCTATTTTTTTTAAAATAACATTTTTTCTTTTAAATCAGAATGTAAACAAGATCTACATGCTGAAATATGAATCCCTGCATCAGAAAAAAGTCTTTCACTTGGTACTGATATTTGCAGATATTGATAAATATTTTCATGCTAATTTTGCAAGAGTTAGAAAAACTTGTTTATGATCTTTCCACCAAAGCAAAGGAAACATATTTTGTTTTTCATCTGGTATTTGAAGATACCAAGTTACTTCATCTTCTGTAATTGTTTCTTCTGTATTTTGTGAAAACAGATTTATTTAATAAAGAAGAAACAGGTTAAGTATCAGTAATATGTGCTTGGATGGATTAAGTAGAATTTGTTTCATCTTGATTTGTTGAATTTGATTGATATATAATAGTTTTTTCTTGAATCAAAATATGAAGTTTGGTGATTGTTTAGTTAAATTAATAAGAAATTTAAGTTTTTTAAATCTTGAATAAAAAATACTTGTTCAAAATTCTATTTCTGAAGATATATTCTAATATTTTGATAGTAATAAATAAGTAACAACCTTCATATGAGCAAGAAAATCATTAATATTTAGATGATATAATTTGACATCAATTTTTAAATTTTGAAGACTTAATATTTCATATTATTTATTGTTAATATATTAAATACTTTGTTGATTATATCTTTTGTATCTATGTCTATGTTCACGTTCATGTTCATGCTCACGTATATATTCATATTTATATCTACGTTAAATTCTTAAGGAAGGAAGTTCAATTTGTAATTCTAATAACTCATTATCTGTATTAATTGCTAAAGTTAACTCATTTTCGTTATTTTCCAAATTAACTTGAAAAGATTTTTGCTTGCCTTAATTATTAATATTCATTAATTTAGTAATATTACTTAAAATTAAATTAAACTTTAAATTTGCTTATCATTAATTTTACCAAAAATAATATAGTGCATAACACTTAAAGTCATTAAATGTTTGTATTTTACAAAATGGATAAACTTCTTTGCCAAGAAGTAAATAGAAAATTTATTCTGTGAATATGCTCGAAAAAAGGCTATTCTATCATATTCATGGATTAATTTTTGTATTTATTTTTTATTAAAGAAGTTTATATATTTTATAAAATACAAATGTTTAATGACTTTAGGTGTTATACACTATATTAACGTAATTATCAAGAGTTTCTTTATTGATTAGTGCTAATTTTTTCATAGTAAAATATATAAAATTAAGAATTATATAAGCAGAGACTGAAAGTAATCAAGTAACATTATAAAAAGAACCAATTAATATAATCAATTCTTCAAAAAAATTAAAATTTATAATATTAATTAAATTAAAAATCAAATTATGAGCCAAATTTTAAAAATATACTTATATCTACTTATTATTATTAAGCAATATTAATTCTAAATATTCATTATTAAGAATTAAATTATTATTATTTGCAATACTCAAAGTAGTTACCAAATATTAAATTGCTCTTTTTAACTTTAACAATTATTTTCATGCAAGATATGAAGAATTTCAGTATATATAAACCTCAAAAATTATATTATGAATTATATCATATTCAGATTAAGATTGTATCTGCAAGTTATTAAATTTGCTTAGGATTATCCAAGAAAAATAAAATAAAATTTTGAATATATTGATAAAAGATTTTGAGTGAACCAAGTTCTTTGACAACTAATAAATAAAGAATGTGAATAATATAACTAATATTTGTGATATTTAATATTAAATAAATTGCTTTATAAATATTATCTCTGTTATTTGTAGTTATAACAAATATTTTATTATTAATATTCCACAAGTTTATAATTTTAACAAGAATATTCTGAATATTTTTTTAGTATAAGATGAAAAAAGAAATCAAATAGTTAAAATACTTTTTGCAATTCGAATTTATAATTAATTCAATTAATAACAACTCTAATATACTTAAAATAACTAAAAATTTATTATAATACTAATAAAATTAATAGAAGAATTAAAAAAATCTTAAAGTTGATTATTACTCTATTTATAATAATTATTAATTAAATTTTTATACTATATTTATCAGAAATTTTGAAATCAGTCTCAAAAATATAGATAAATTGCTAAAAAGATT